TACTTATGCTTGACACTTGGACCAGTTATGTGTCTCTGCATCAGCTGTAACCCCAGCAAGACAAATCTGTGGAAAGAAATAGAAATATTAAGGAAACAATTTGACAACATGACCATTTTGCCAAATAACACTGGTAAGTTTCCCCCTCTAGGGCCCTATGACTCCTCTAGTCACGGGCTTTTGACGAGGTGTACAGGATCAGGCATGAACTCCTTCCTGTGGGGTGTGGCCTCAGATCCAATCAGAAAGAGATTGTTTGCCCACCAAACTGTCATGCCTCTATTGCTCCAATGGGCACATCTTGCCAGGCAGGTCAGTATTAAAGCATGTGGGGTTCACATCTGGATAAGATCATTGATGTTTCTTCATTCCCAGCAACCTGCATTGCCCCTTCTGGCTTTATGTCAGCTCCCCATCATGGGGAGAGTTTCTGGGTCAGTACAAGTTGATTTCTGTATGTCCTACATTCAAAGTGAGTGGTGTCTTCAGAGAAAGGGACATATCATCTAGTTGTGGTTAGCAACCAAGAACAATAGAAGTAGCCCATGTTATTTGGGGTAGTTCTGGGGCCTCTGGCCAATAACTCATCTATAAAGGCATCCCGCGCTCAGCACCCAGATTTTCAATTAAGAACTCATGTCTTCTTGGAGCAGCATTTTCCACCCATGAAGGAACTTGTGTTCAAACTCTTGTTTTTAGATTACATTTTTAAATTGGCTTGAAAACTAGTGGATGCACATTAGGCTTCTTCATGTTACCCTCTGTTAACTCATCCTCCTCCCTCTTCTCTCCCAATCTCCACTAAAACCTTTAACCCAGAAAATCACCCCACTCTCCTCTCACGTACCCTGTATTCAGCTGACAAGTTTTAATACTGGTTGAACTTGATTATAACATGATTGGCCAAGTCTAAAATATATTACACAAATTAAGTGTTATAAAATAAATTTCCAATAATAAATGATACATATTATTTTCATTGATAGGTAACAAGCAAATATTCTATTACTGGGGTTAATGTTCTATAAAAATTGAATGCTATACTTAAAGGCATTTATTTGACCAGTTCCTGCTATATAACTTGCTCTGTTATAATAGTACTTATTTTTTATGGACTCCTAGGTTTTTGTATTTTATCCCACACTATTTATTATCATTTGTTTATGTAATCAATTTCCCCCCACAGCTGAGGATCAAACTCAAGGTTTTAACAATGCTAGGTAACTACTCAACCACTGGTTTGCCCCAAGTCTTCAGCTATCTTTTGAAAGGAGTTAAATCTTTTTAAAATGTTTGATACTTCTTTTCAGGCTCTTCACTGTCTATCCTCAGAAGGAGTCATTCACCTATCTTTCCCCTGGATTGTTTTCAAAGCTAATTCGCCCTCTGCTTTTATCTTTGTTCATGGTGTATGTTATATGGGGTTGATTTTAAGGCTTTTTCTCTTCATTATTGGTGTTGAATAAATTGTTTCTGAGGTACCTTGGTACAGGTACAGTTTTCTTCATGTTCTGTGTGCTAGGGGTTTGTTTCTGTCAAACATTTCAAGTGTTTTCCATGCTCTCTGGAATTTTCCAGTTATTAATATACCCAGCCACCTAGAGCGGTTCCATAGTGCACTGATGTGGTTTTTACCACTTAAAATCTTTTTTTCCATATCTGATTTGGAAGCATCTCCAAAGTTATGTCTTCTTTTCATAAGTTTTTTTATTACACAGTCTTTAATTTGCTTTTATTCTTATCAATTATAAACTATCATAAACAGTATAATTTTCATCTTTAATTGGATTCAGGTCTTTAAACACACACACAATACACACACATACACACACCTTCAATGTCTGCACTTCACACATCTCATCATATTCCTAGATTCCTGGCCATATGGCATATAGTTATAAGTGTCTTAATGTCCTTGTCTGATTATTCTAACATCATCAATTCTTGATTGGTTTCCATTTGTCAGTTTCTCTCTCCCTGTATGGGTCATATTTACCTGCTTCTTTTACAGTTAATTATATTTCTTCATTGACAATTTCCTTCATGTATACAATACATTTTGATTATTCCTCCCCACCAGCCTTTATCTCCCTCCCCATCCTCTTCCCTACAAAGATTTCCCACACATTTCTATCTTTTTGTTGCTGTGTTGTACTGTGCTGTGTGACCTGCTATGTTTCATAAGGGCCCTCAGTGTGACCATAGGTTTGGAACTTCGCATTGAAAGAGTAAGCAAACATTTCACATGTCTGGTATCTTGTAGGAGATGCTAAGTGGTGTAGATTTAATTTTGCATGTGTTAAGTATTGCTGCCTTCCTGAAAAGCTATTCTTGAGCTTACTTCTGGGGCAGAGTTGAGTTGCCAGGAAACACTCTGATGCATTTGAGTCTTATTTTTAAGATAGTGTGAGGAACCAGAACAATGTTTATTCTCAGGCTACTGAGTCCTCACCTCCAAGTCGGGACCTTCACTGTGCTATGTGTATTATGAAGTTTCCATATATGGCAGGTGGGAATCACGACCTATTCTTGGCCCTGAGTTAATGCTGAGCCCTGTTTCCTCCAATGCCTTCAGATGGCTTCTTCCCTATGCTGGAGCATAGCTCAAGAGGGATCTGAGAACTCTTCCTCCACAGGACTTTCTTTTTCTCTCACCCTGCCTAGCAAACTCCAGATGGTTCAGTCTTGCTGGAGTCTCAAGACACCTTTATTAAAGGTGTCTTCCAAACCTCTATGATTTCCTGTTCCTGTACCAAGGCTTGAAAACTAGAGGCAGATATCTGGGTAACCATGGAGCTCACATCACTGAGCTTGCTTAGTTATTGCTCTCATGAGTTGCTGTCTGCTGTCCTAAAACACAACTAAAACCATTTTTCCCATTCTTTGTCCAGTATTGGATTGTTTCTGAAGTAGAGAAAGTCTACTCCCTATTACTCCAACTTGCTGAAAGCCAAAGTCATTTTAAGGTCAATCTTGGGTGACTATTTCCATATCTTATCCTTAACAGCATAATAAGAAGTGATGGTTATGGCAGAGAACTGTTACCTCAAAGTTTTCCTCTGAGTTCCTCAATCTCAGCCAGGTTCAGCTATAAAATGCTTATGTCTATTGTTCTTGAGTCTGAATTAAAGAATATGCTACTTAATGATAGGAAGGCCAGCATCCTTCTTCCAGCTTTGACCCCAGGACAAATGAGCTAGGCATGGACTGACTGGACCACCTCAGAGACCATTTCTACTTTGTCAGACACATGACAGTTCAAACTGGCTAAAGACAGTCCTACGGATAGAAAGCATTTCTGTCAATGAAGGCATCCTTAAGACTTGATCTGAAAAACCTAAGCAGTAGCTAAGATCTTGAAGCTTTTCATCAGCAGTTAGCTGTCCAAGCAATGGAAAATTACATTATTTCTTACTTGGATGCCAGACATCTGTAAGACGAATCTTGAAAGGTCTTACTAATAAAAACAAACCCAGAGCCAGGTATTGGGGTGAATGTTCAAAGATAGGAGAAACAGAACAAGCCACAGCTAACCTCACCTCGCCAACTCCTCAGTCGATCCTGTTTCCTCAAACTGGAAGCCTCTGAGTCTTCACCCAGAGGATGAATGGATCTCAGCTGAATTGCTGTTAAAAGTCTCAAAGCTTAAAGGGCCTTAGTTCCTGGTTTTCACGCCTTATATACCTTTCTGCTTCCTGTCATCACTTCCTGGGATTAAAGGCGTGTGTCTTTTCCAAGCAAAGACAAGAGATCTCAAGTGCTGGGATTAAATGTGTGTGCCACCACACCTGGCTCTGTTCCTAGTGTGGCCTTGAACTCACAGAGATTCAAATGGATCTCTGCCTCCCAAGTAGTAGGATTAAAGGTGTATGTGCCACCATTTTCTGGCTTCTATGTCTATCTAGTGGCTGTTCTGTTCTCTGATCCCAGATAAGTTTATTAGGGTGCACAATATATTGGGGAACACAATATCACCACAGATGTCTAAGCATAATATCTATCAACAATCACCCTTTTTGACCAACTTCCAGACTCACACTTTGTGTTTTTTTTCCCCAGAGAAAATAAGGCCTTCTAGTGTAAGCAAGTGTTATTAGAGAAAAATGGGAATCCAATAATTTGAGCTGGAGTGAAACTCAATTAACAGAGTATTTGCCTAGAGTGCATGAAGTCCTGGATTTAGCCCACAGCACTGTGTAAAACTGAGTGTGCTGAGTGTAAACTTGTAGTTCAAGCATTTAGGAAGTAGAAGCAGGAGGATAAGATGTTCAAGATCATCCCTGGCTCACATAGTGAGTTTGAGGCCAGCCTGCAATGTGAGACCCAGCCTCAAAATAAAATGCCATAGTTTAATCTTTAGTACAGTGACTTGCTATAAGGCACCTGTTCTTTCAACCCCAAGACACAGCCCAACCCAAAACAATATAACACAACACAACACGACACAACACAACATAGCATGTACATATGATGCCTGTTCACACACCGTTGTTCTTTCTCTGCCCTGTCCAGTGTTTCACGGTAAGAAAAGCCACAGTCTACACTAGAGGTTGGCCTTATAGTCTTAGAACCAGAGTCCAGGAAAAGTTAGAAGAGGGTTCATACCGAAAATTTAGTTAAAGGAAAAAGAATATATATGTGCATGCATATTACATAGGAATGGGTTATTGTTTTATTAATGTGACGTTTAGGGGCATATGCACTTCTTGGATTTTCTTGTCTTTAGTAAAGATTCAGCTCACAATCAATTGTATTATGTTTTAAGAAGTAAGTTCTTCCACTAGTCTGTTTTATTCTTGTATTGGGAAGCTGTAGATGCAGTTTCACATGAGATTTCTGATACTTGAGGGGAAAAAATGTCCTTACAAGTCCCCCATTGAGTCCTTCATGGTCAGACCATAGAGGATCTCTAAAGTGCCAGGCATGGGGAGAGTTTGCTACTGGTCTTGTGGGCAGCGTGTTTTCATTTGCCTAACCTCCAGGTCTCTTTCTTCCCACAGGCACCCGAGTGGACAGAACCAACAGCTGTCAGTCGGACAGCAGTGGGTTTTTGGAGGAGCTGCCAGACCCCCATCCCTTCCAGGTAGGAGAGGCTGGAATGGGGCACTGAATGCTTACTATACACATTTCATTCCTATCAACCATCCCCAATCATACTTGCACTCCTGAAGATCTTGGAAGGATGAACTAAAGTGCCCACCACTGTGGAGGCCCACAAAGGTTCCTAGTGAGATCTGAGCTTGCTTTACCTGGCAGAGCTGCATTAGAGGATTGCTTGACCACGTGTATGGTTACTAGGTGATTGGAAGGGTCTGCACTTGGCTGTGCTAGGGGGAGGTCTTTTGCTCCACCCCTTGGCATTCCTTGAAAAGGCTCTTTAGAAGAGATAGAAGGGGCTGGTGGATAAGGATCCAGTCCCTCCCGAGCCTGTCCCGTATTTCTGTCTTCTTTTCTCTCCTCTATCCTTCTATCTAAACTTCTTATCCCTCTCTCCTCAAGAGTATCCTGGGGGGAAAAAGTGGGAGCTGGTCGCCCACACACCACACATGGAAAGTTTTTAAGTCCACACCAAATATATACTCAATGGACAGAGAATGATAAAATCATTGTAGGCCAAGTGCCAGGGTGCTCACTTTTCTTCTCCTTCCCCTTCTGTTTTGGTTTTTCTAAGTTATGAACTGAACATCATAGGGAAGAGGTGGTAAGTGAAGTAGTAATCTGATATAATTTCGAGTTTATAGCCTGTGCTCATGACGTCTGTGTCACTGGGAACATATATGCATATAATGCTGCTGCAACTTCCTGATTCTTTCCCATGTCGGTTTCTCCTGCAGGTGTCTTCCTTGCCAGGCAGCCAGAGTCCCACTGAGGGTAGAGGTAGCAAACCAAGGGATCAGAGTCATAGCCCAGCACCATGGCAGGACTGTCAGCAAGAGTCCAATGGCTCTGAAACCAAGAGCATGGTGAGCTCATCTTTGTCAAGCCATGATAGGAGTATATTGGAAGGAAAGGTCTCAGCATCCGTGGAGGAGGAGGAGCTTCAACTTGAGGCTATGGAGGAGCTACCAGAGACACTCACCCCAGATCCGACCCTCACCAAGACCACGATGGTGGGAGAATACCCAGGGAGTCTTGTTGGAACTGTAGTCACTTCTACATGTAATAACACAATGGGGATCATGGTGGCTCCTGTCACAGAAAAAGAAGACAGGTCTCTGAGACATAAGGGTACTGGGAAAATGCTGATACAAAGGCACCGCTTTGAGTCACCAAGGTCATCCGGGGTTGATCAGACTCCAGACAGTTTCTATCTCGTGGACTCTGAGATCCCAGGAACAGAGGACAGCAGCAAGGCCTGCCCTGATACCAAACAAAGCTCAGTAGTGCAGGAGAAGCTAGCACAGCACTCTCAGCAGCACGGAGGAGCCACGCCCTATAAAGGTGACCTTGTTCAAAACTCTGATAAGTCAGCTCCCCACCTTGAGAAGCCACCTGGAGATGCTCCCACTGACTCAAATGCTGCCAGCTCTTGGTCTGTGACAACCCAGATGTCCTCCAATCTGGTGTCAGCTGCTCAGAGTGTTGTAGACTTGGGGACCTACTATAAAGGAACAGCTTTAGATTGCAGTCCATGTGACCGTGTTAATACCACAGACCTGAGAGTGCAGACAGAAGCAAAGCAGGTCAATGATGTTGCTGTTCAGACTTACACATATGAATGTAAACCCAGACCCTCGCATAAGGCCTTAATTCATAGACCCTGGCCCCTCACCAAATCCATCTCTTTGGACACAGGTTTTTCTAGCACCTCCCCAACAGGCCTCTGTCACACCATACCTGCCCACTGTTGTGTCTGCTGTCATCACTGTCCCAATTGCCAGGGAAGGAGGCAAAGCTCTGGCCCAGAATCCTCTATTTGCAGGCATTTCCTGTACTCACATGCAGAGGATCCTGAAGCCCGGTTCATGAAGACATTGAAAATACTTCAGGACACTACTGTGAGGGACTTGTGTTCTGTAAGTGTTTCCTCTACAAAGCTGTAGATATGCCACTAACATCACAGAAACGGTCTTCCTCTTCTTTAATGGCAGAGAAAACTCAGGGCATAACTCTTTTTTTCAAACATGAGTGCTTGTTGAGTGTTTTATAGTTTATTAGATAAACTCATATGTTTCAGGCATATGTGTATAACATATGTCATATGTCATATGTATATAACACTAATGGACCCATCTTATCTCTAAGTCAGTCTAGCTGAGAAGTTCTGGGTTTTAAATTCAGTGGGCTATCTAATCTTACCTGGGCCATTTTGTGTCTCTAGGGCTCTCATGTAAAACAATGGGATGAGTACTGTGGATCTTACTCGGTGGTAAAGTACTTGCTTAAACTCCTAGATTTAATTCCTGGTACCATGAAATGCATGCATGCATACATACATATATACATATGCGAGGAATTGATTCATTCCATTGTCATAAAGTTGTTTTAGGATGAAATAAAGGCTTGTAAAGCACTCAACGTAATTAGAGACTCATCACAATATTTAACACCAAGAAAGCTCAAGGTAATATTAATTGATAGGGTATGACTCTAATCATCAATTTGTATTACTGTTTTATTTTTGCTGTATTGCATGAACCTCTGATGTCATGTAGAGGGACTGCTGGTCAACATTTGGTAACTGGCTTAAACGTGAGTACTGGGTTTACTAAAAGCTGAGTGATGTCAATGGACTTTAAGCCTAGATTGACACACTTGTCTTTAATGAGTTCTTTTCATGCTCTTTTTCAGCATTTTCAGGGTGGGGATAATCTAGGAGTTCCAGGATTACTATCAAGTAAAATATTGAGACTCTCACATCTGAAATTTTACATACAAAGAGTAAAGGGCCTTGATGATTACAGCTGTTCCGAGACATTGCAGAGGAACTGTGACTTACTGAGTACTATGGTCCAATGCCTGATGGGTTCACTTATATCTTTTAATTCCACAAAAAATATACTGAATGTCTATTCTAAACATTTAATTTATATTGCATCATTTAACCTTCAATTTCTTACATGCCATAAATATTTATTGGATTTCTAATATGTGGCAAGTATTCTCTCTTTTGTAAATAAAAAAAAAAACAAACAAACAAAAAACTAGAACTGAGAGAGTTTGGATAATCTTCCCAACCACTAAGTGCTGAATCTTAACTCAAATTCTTAGACAAAGATGTGCCCAACTTTAACATATCTAAATCTGTATGAGAATAATTATGTGAAAAATAAAGTAAATTATCATATGGACTTTTAACATATAGAACTCTACATAAGCCTAATATAAACTGAGAAACTAATTTTCAGATTGCAAGACACCAGACATTTAGAATATTTAAGAATGAGCCAAGAATAAAGGTTATGCTAATCATAGAAAGCTTCATCCAGGCGTTATAATCAATTCTGGGTATTTTATTCAGAGGAGGAAAAGGGCAAAGGCTGATGTGTAGCTGGGATCCTAGTGTCAAAATATCTAGGTTCAAATCCTGGAGAATGGAGCTGGGGATATAGCTCAGTGGTAGAACATCTCAGTACCTCAATCTTCAGTACCAAAATAAATCAAATAAAATCTAGGAGAATAGGAAAATCACCACTGTACTCATTTATTGAAGGTTTATAAGTGCTTTAAGGAATTATTCTTCTACTATGAATGATTTCCTCCCCTAGCCCTACATCAGGTGACATTGACAATCTTTGGAGACATCTTTACTTGTCACAGCTGAAAGAGTAGTGGGTGATACTGGCAACAAATGAGTAAGGACCAGAGACGCTGTTGGACATGCTACTATACATGCACAGGACAGCCTCACAACAGACAATTATTTAGTCTAAAATGTAAGTGTTGTCAAGATTGAACACCATAGCTCTGGAACAAATAGCATTCACTTGACCATTTAGTTTATATGAAATCATGCTGGGCATGAAAGTTAGCTAAAGAAGGTGGCATTTGAAATCCAATACAAACAATTAGACCATAGAAATAAACATCTCTTTTTCTGTAATGAAAGCCTAGTCCAGGCATGGTGGCATATTTCTGTAATGTCATTAACCAGTAGATTAAGGCAGGAGGATCATTATAAGTTCAAGGTCAGTCTGGTCTATGTAGCAAGTGCTAAAGGCTACATAGTCAGACCTTACAAAGAAGCATAAATTAAATCATATTTAGTTTTACATTCTATTTGAAATGACAAGAAAAATACAATCAAAATTACATCCAAAAATTCAGACGAGTCCTTCAAGTCAAAGCCAATATAATTTGTTAATTATAATGCTGTGGTAAGATATTAAATCTGTTTTCTCATCATGTCACCCCTGCCAATTAAAAAGAATGTAAATAATTTCTTGGCAATGTGAAAAAGAGAAATAACAAGCATGTACTTGTAGACTGAGAAGCTAGAAGATGATTGCATCAAATTGCATTTGAGAATTGCAATCAACTTGATGAGACCTGGAGAAACTCAGGTGTAGAGACCCAAAGCTGGTTCAAGATTAAGGCAGCTGCTTATGATAGAGGTAGAGACTGAACCTGGGCCAGCACCAGAAGTTTCCCTGAATATGAACCAGAGTCTTCCCTTCTCTATTTCTGTCAGAAGGAGACCTAAGACTTACATACTTCCAGCTGTGTGGAATGATTTGACATCTGAAAACAGATGTTCGGCTTCATTTGGCACTACAGCATAGAAAAGTTTTGTGACCCATTGTGTGTAATCATCATCCTCAGACTCGCATGTAGGTGTCAAACTAGCAGCAGTTGATTGAGTGTGAATTTTGCTCCCCATGCTTTCCCAGCCCTTGCCTCACGTTGCCTTAGCCCTCCTCCTCTTTGAGTCTGGAATTATCAGGGGTTGGGGAGATGGTTCCGTAAGGTGCTTGCTACACAAGCATGAGGACCTGAGTTTGTATCGTCGGTACCCACATAAAAAGCTGGGTGTGGGGGGGGGGGGCATGCACCTGTAATTTCAGTGCTGGGGTGATGGTGCAGAAACAGATGATTCCCTGGAGCTTACTGTCTAGCCTATCCAGCTGAATAGGTAAGCTCCAGGTTTATCTAGAGAGTCTAACCCCCTAAATAAGGCAGAGGATGACTGAGGAAGATACTTGATGTCAACCTCTGACTCAAATGCACACACATACCTACACATACATGAACATGGACACATACACAGCCCCAATAACAACAACACCCAAACCAGAAATTGTAATTGTACAGAAAAGACACAAAGGGAATTGCTTTGGCTGAAATGATGTTTTACAGAGTTTTACTAGACAGCCATGTATTTTCCTTTAAATTTAAGAGATCAGAAATACTCATTCAATGGGAATGGTGAATTCATGTGCTCAGATATGTGTATCTGTTTGCAGACACACACACACACACACACACACACACACACACACACACACACACACACACTTGTACCCACACACTTAAGTATGCATGGGGTTGCTTTCTGCTATGAGCAGGGTATTTTTCAAGAAACTTGAGGAATGGTGAAGGAAAGCAGCTCATGTGGCGACATGTGCTGTGACTGAGCCTGGGAATTCACCTGGTTGGGTCTGTGAAACCTTAAACAAGGTTCTGCAGGAAACGTGGCTTGATGAATGCTATGGGATAGCTAGGATTAGGAAATATTAGGACAAAAATAACTAGGAACCAGGCCACGGGTTTTCAGACAGGAATGGATGCTATCTGTCAAATGACGACAGTCATTTAAAGTAGATGTTGAAAGTAAGAGCAAATTTGGATAAAATCTTGATTTGGAAAAGTATCCTCCATTCCATTGACTTTTAACCAATGATGTACAACACTATGGAGTAGCCCACAGCAGGCTTTGTGGTCTTCTAGCTTATCTAGAAGAATGGTTAATTGATATGTTTAGAATTGTAATTGTACATGGAAGGTTTTTTTAAACAATAATTTATTAGTGGAAAACTTATTTGTTCATGTAATTAATCTTTTATGTGTGAATTCTTGGGAGTAATTTAATTAAAATATGTTAATACAAAGCCAAACATATTTCCAGAATAAGGTACATTAGAAATAAGATTTCTGAGTCTTCTATAATATTTATAGGTTTAGGTTAAAAGAAATGGAAATTGTACCAAGTTTAAAAGGTGTGAGTTAATTAGAACATGAAAGGTTGCATTGTTGTTTGGGGTTGGTTTTACACTGTCATTCTTACTGTTGACGTTTGCATCAATGAGTTGAGCCAGTAGAGCAGACCTTGTGTTTTATGTGGGTGTGACCCAGATTTTACATCAGACAATAGAGATCAACACTGATGTGCCATCCCCATTCCCATTCCCCTTGCCTACATTTTCCTTTCTTCTGAAATCTTTTTTGCTGGTTCTGGGGCTAAACTGTGTATTTCTGAATGACCAGGAGATGGCAGCACTTTAGAATGTTCCACAGCACTACAGTCTTAAATCACAATCTGGCCTGGCCATCAGCTATTCCCAAATCCAAGCCCTACTGCACATAAATTCCATTCACAATGGGTTACCCCCAAACATCAAGCTGAGGCTTGAAGCCCAATGTTAATGAAATCAATCTGCTTGAGCACTGTGCTGCTGTGGTCTGGTCTTGCCCTCCCTTGTACCTGAATTGATTCGAAGCACTGAGCCGGCTCCCTCCTGAGGGAAATGTGCCTCCTCATACTGTCTCATTACACTTCACTCCATGAAGTGAGTTGGTTAGATATTGAGAAGGAAAAGATCCACCATGTGACTTGGATTTGAAATCTGAATAACGTTTTTTACTACAGAGACAGCTGTTAAAGGGTTTGTGTCCAAACACTTATCTACAAAAGATGCTTGCATGGACTCCAAGATGGTTTCCATTTTTTATAAGCCGTAATTTGGTAATATTTAAAGCATTCTTGTCAACATCAATATGTGTCAAAGACTTCCCTCAGCTGGTTTGGGTTCACTCATGCTAAAGCTAAATATTATCAGACAGGAAAAATAACTCAAAACAACATGATGTGGCATTTTCTTATCAAAGTATCAGTCTTAGAATAATATTCCCTTTATGAAGCTTCTAGGTGAAATAATAATCACCAAACTGCCATGATCTATGTGATTTTGAGGATAAAGATAAAAACCAATCTTGGACTTTCTAGAAACTGAAGCAGAGGATGGTAGAGTCCATGGCCCAGCAGTTAAATGACTTTCATTAAAATTGCTTCTCAAAAGCCCACAACATCCTCTGTGATCCCATTCTTTGGATATCAGCATTGGGAGAGAAGATTAGGGAATGCAGATTTTTAGTTAGACACATTGCTGCTTGTAAAGCATTAGACTTGTGTTAAGAGAAAAAGGGAGGAGGGAGGTAAGCTGCAGCCAGTAGCTTCTCTTACTGATCTGGAAGAGGGTCTGATAGACAGTTAGAATCCACAAGTATTAACAGCACTTGAAGTCAGATGGCAGTGGCCCTGGGGATCTGGGTCATAGGTGTACACAAAGAATCATCCCATACAACCTGCAAAACAAGGGGGAGAACTGACAGGAGATCAGCAAATCAGCATGGTGTCCCTAAGACAGACTGGGCTCAGTGACTCTCAGCTGCACAGAGGTCATCAGTCAAAGTGGTGGAAACAGATTTATTTGATTCAGAAACTACTGACAGTAAGGGAAAGAGCCGGACTTCATTTTGACCTGTGCAGGAGTGATATGAGCACGTTAAAGAAAGAATGAGAGAGAGAGAGAGAGAGAGAGAGAGAGAGAGAGAGAGAGAGAGAGAGAGAGAGAGAGAGAGAAGGGGCTCAGTGGATTTAGTAAAGTAGAAAAGGGTGAAAGGGCAGAGGGCCAGGTGTGTTTGTGAGCTGACTGTATTTTAAATACATAGGTTAACCAATAACCACAGAGCTGCCATGATCTTGACCATGTGATTTTGAGGACTTTCCAGAAACAGAGGCAGGGGACGGTGGATTCCACAGCCTGTCAGTCAAACGAGTTTCATATCATTTACCTCTCCAAAGCCCACACAATTCCATCCTCCCACGGAGACTTCTAGCTGGGTTCACTTCAAAGGGATGGCTTAAGAAAGACACTTCTGGGTTATATAACACACTCATTCACAACTGTGAGCCCTTTTAGTGACTGCTGCAAAGAAGGAAGGCTAGAGTCTGTGCCTCTGTGCCTCCCTTCCCGGCAGGGCTTACTCAACACAGTTCTCAGCATTCAGCAAGGAGCTTCTTTTTGCAGCAGCTGGAGTCTGTTAGAGAGATCCATGGCTGTCAGAATGCAGAGAATATGTGAGCCTTGTGGTACCAAACAGGACATCCATAGCACAACCCCTGTATCTAAGGCTCAGGGAACATCCTGGAAGAGAGGGAGGAAAGACTATAAGAACCAGAGACTGGAATGTCTGCTGTTATATCCTGTTGCATGATAAATGTGCATTATCTTAAGCCAGCTATTTGGAGCTCAGGAAGGGAGAATATCTAATCCAGGTTAACCCTCCCCTTAGAAAATAAAAGACAGATAAATAAAATCCCTTAATTCTAGGGCATCAGTAGACAGCAAGGACTTTAGGATACTTGGAACACCTTTACACAGCTGGGTTGCTTGGACACTAACATGAAATAGACACTAACATGAATGGCAGTGTGGACAGGACAGGGATGTTACACCCATGAATTCTCAACAACCTGGCTGCCTGCACAAGACCTACAAAGACCACACCTGATTCCATGAGAGCATATATGGAGGAAAATTAAGCAAGTCTTTACCCCTAGATGAAAAGCTACAGGCAATCAGTGCTTGATGAGAGTGAGAACTAGTTTTTGTTTGTTTGTTTCCAAGTATTTGTGTGTGTGTGTGTGTGTGTGTGTGTGTTTTCTGGCAACCTCGAGCTTTCTTAGGTGTTGTTTTACTTCATCACTGTGACGGCACCTTAATCTACTGCTGTTCCAGCCAGCAATTGCAACTCTGCAGGTACCGGCCTCCTTCTGCCTCTCAAGCCACAGCCTGGTGAGAATTCTGTTCCCACAGGCACTGGCTCTGTCACTGCTGTTAAAGGTAGCTTTGACTAAATCTCTGTTGTTCTATTTATAAATAAGACTCAAGATTCAAAGGCTGGGGTGAAAACCTGCTAGCTCAGAGAGGCTGGGTTGAATTCTCAGCCAGGTTGTTGAGAATTCGTGGGTGTAACATCCCTGTCCACACTGCCGTTCATGTTAGTGTCTATTTCAAGTTAGTGTCCAAGAAGCCCTTTTCGCCTTACCTGCATCTCTGCCAAACCAAAAAGAGCTGCGCCACTCAACACCCCTCCCTTCTACTTCCAGTGTCTCTCTATCTCTTCCAGATGCCCTGTGATGCTCTATGATTACTTTCTGTCAGCCTCCTAAGCCAAGGTTAATTTATTTAATTAAAGCAAATGCAAACTCAGGGTTCACAGTGTGATCAGTATCCGACAACACTTAGGTAAGCAATTCAACTGAATGATAGTGGGTGGTCATCCTGAGGGCATGGTCAAGTGGTATGCCGGATTCTTGTCAACTCACTACAGGTCAGAGTTATTAGCTGTAAAGAATTCCATAACTCTTGGAGGTTGCAAGAAGATATTAAATTGAAACTCCAAAGACAGCAAGGGTTGAAGACTGAGGGAATCTGGGGACAAGAAGAGCTCAAGTCTTGATTCTAGCTTGTAGAGAGCATGGATGCCTAACATTTCTCTCAGTTGGGATTGTAGGATGGGTGGAATGGATCCTGCAGATTTCCCTCTTTGAGGATTATGGCGAAGCAAGGGTAAAACTAGCATTCTAAGCAGATTTTCCTGAACAACTACACATGAGTAGATGTGTTCAGTGTTCTCGATGCTAGGAGTGATGGGGTTCTGGGTACCAATACTGAGGAAGATTAAAGGAAGCTCCATTTTTCTAAGTGTAAGTCTGCTTTCTGATGTCTCTTCCTCTTCTCCTCTGTCCACCTCCTTGCATCTCCCTATTGAATAGGACTGGCTTGGACTCCCCAGTACATAACTAATTCCCACCCAAGTACTACTCATCAACTGCTCCCCTTTGTCTTAGTCAAATGCCACCTCTAATTTCATCCAAAGCTGCGGGCTGGGTCTCCCTGGTCTCTTCTAAAAATGTTAGTAGTTGGGCTTCTTTGCAAACAGTGAATTCCAAATGGGAAGGAAGGCAGAGCCCAGCCCTCCAGTGGTGTTAGACAGGTCACCAGCTTCGGGTTTTCTGTCTGTTGTCAGTGCACAGTCTATGAGATGGAAACCATGAAGATGGTGTGCCAGAGTTTCCAGGAGCACTTAGAGGAAATTGAACAGCACTTCATGGGACAGCAGGCACTCTTTCCCAGGGACATGTCAGAAGAGGAAAGGTAATTATCTAAGGCAAGCATGAAAGTAAGTCCCAGACCACACACCTGGAGCAAGGGAAGGTAATCAGAGCAGGCAAGGCAGACGAGCATGATGGAGCAGGGCTAATGAGAAATCAGCCGGCTTTTCCTCTGCTTTCATGGTCTTCGTTTTGCTTTCTCAGTGTGAAACTGAGAGAGCCATCACTGGATGGGCACACTCTTATTGAAGATTGGGGCTATTTGGGGAGGTTAGAAGAGGGGCAATCAGCTGGGAGGTTGGGAAAGGCCAGCAGGATTTCTTTAATTGATAGGAAAGAGGCTTGCACAAAAGCAAATGTTTCGGGGGGGGGGGGGCGGTTGTTATTAGAGTTTTGAAATGTACATTATTGTCACAGGGATTAAAAATATTACCCAAATGGATGCATCATTGATTGCCTGTGACTGTGGGGATAGATTTTAATAGTAAAGGGAATGGGTGTTGTCTGCTCTTATTGGAAGATGGCATGTTCTAGTGCTGCATGCGGGTCATCCTTATCCAATTTGGCAACTTCCTTACAAATAATGTATGTTGAAATAGATAAACATGATACATAAATTATACCACAATAGAATTTCTTTTTTATAAGGGTGTGTTAGGGATGCGGCTCAATGTTAGTGTACTTGTATAAAGTGCAAATCCATAGCTCCCATTGCAAAGGGAGTGCAGGGGGGTGGGGGGTACCTTCCCTAGTAGCAGACTTACCTCTAGAGCTGAATCAAATGTTGAAGGTCAATGTCTCTTTTAAGCAATTTCAGAGGCCAGAGAGATGGCTCCGTGGGTAAGGGCACTCACTCACACTGCCCAGCCTGACTACCTGAGTTCCATCGGGAGAACAACTTGCTCACCACTGTGTCAGGCATATGTGCACGGACACACACACACACACACACACACACACACACACACACACACGAGAGAGAGAGAGAGAGAGAGAGAGAGAGAGAGAGAGAGAGAGAGAGAGAGAGAGACATAAAATTCAGAAGAAATATCAAAGGCAGGACCCACTTGGTGAGAGGGGCATGGAAGACTGCATCTGGCGGTGATTTTGAAGTCTCCTTTTCTATTATCTTCATGCAGGGAAGAGGCTGAGGACCTGAGGACTTTGCGAGAGGCCCTGAGGCAGCAGGTGGCAGAGCTGGCATTTCAGTTAGGAGACCGGGCCAGGCAAATCAAAGAGGGTGTCCTACTGGTAAGGGGTGTGGTGGAGAACGGACGCAAAGGGGATGCAGAGTCTAAATGTCTCCAGCCTACTACTCATGGGAGAGCTGCTTTCAATAAGAAGCCAGTGGTGTGACAATTTCAGACTGCAGCATGACATGTTACATGGCCACACCTGCATTTTACACATAAAGAGATTGACCTTGCTTTGCTCCTGCCCACACAGCTGTCGGGCGGTGGTTGGCTCAGGTTTATAGCTACTCCATGCTTTCTCCTGCCATCTAAAGGAAAGCAAAGTACTATTACCCATTTTCCATGTAAGAACAAGAATCCCAGATCCCAGGATAGCAAAGCTAGCCTTTTGATCCATGAGCTAGGTCACTACTATACCCTGCTATTGGCTCAAAGTGCCCATTACAGAACCTTGGCACCTCATAAACACATTTCTTTCAAGTCTGAGGTAACTGGTGTAAGTGTGGCATGTCTCTGTCACCACCAGGGACAGAGGAACAGTTCCATTCTATGTCTCCTACATGCCTGCAGTGGCCTGAAGAATCCGTCTTTCTTACTGGGGTCTCCATTCAAGTATAAGTAGAATTCATAACCTTATCAAAGAAAATAATTCCAAGATAAGGCAACATGAATCAGAATTGAAGTTTATTAAAGAGATTTTGTTTGTTTGTTTGGTTTTTTGTTTTTTGTTTGTTTGTTTTGAGACAGGGTTTCTCTATGTAGTTTTGGTGCCTGTTCTGGATCTCACTCTGTAGCTCAGGCTGGCCTTGAACTCACAGAGATCTGCCTGGCTCTGCCTCCCGAGTGCTGGGATTAAAGGCATGCACCACCACCGTCCGGCTTTAGCATAGATTGTTAATAGAGAGAAATGTGAGGGAAGAGTAGAGCGTGGTCACATGCGGAGAGTCACATTTGGGTTTCTATTCAGTGGGCACCTTTAGGATTTGTGTAGTTCTCCAGTTACATTTCCGTAAGTTGTGAAGAACCCCCTCTCCTTTTTAACACTGCTCAAAGACAGCAGCTCACAACAAAGATACAGGTTACAGACAGAGCGGGGAGATGGCTCAGGAGTTAGGAGCACTTCCAGAAGCTTGGTGCACAGCATCCATGACCGGTAGTTCACAACTACCTGTAACTCTAGCTGTAGGGGACCCAACACCCTTTACTGGACTCCTTAGGCAACTACAAAGAGATATGTACGTAATTATCAATTGAAAAAATTTTAAAAGATCTTAAGGATTTCCTTCTCTGAACAAAAACTTGTAAGTTTCATGGGGGATATCGTTTAGGGTTAAGAGTGAGAGGTGAGTAGAAACTCATGGTCTTTAAGTAAATGTAGCTTATTTATTGTCTTTTGTAAAATGTCTTTGGAAACAGACATTGTTTTGGTGAGCAGTTTTGGCTTTCTTAGTAGTATCTGGTTTCTTGCCTCTCTCTACAGCCCAGATCTCTGGACCCACACATTCCTCCCCATGTGCCCTAGTTACTTTCTGTTGCTATGATAAAACACCCTGGCTGAAAGCAACTTGGAGACCGAAGGGTTTATTTGGCTTACAAATTATAGTTGATCATCAGGGGAAGCCAAAGCAGTCACTCGAGTTAGGAACCTGGAAGCAGGAACTGAAGTGGAGACTCTGGGGGATTTCCGCTTACTGCCTGCCTCTCCAAGACTTGCTCAACTTGATTTCTTATACAACCCAGGACCACCTACCCAAGGACAGCACTGCCCACAGTGGGCTGGGCCCTGCCACATTCAATATTAAACAAGATATACAGGCAATCTGACAGAGGCATTTTATCAGTTGAGGATCCTCTTCCCAGATGACTCTAGCTTGGGTCGAGCTGACAAGGAACTAGCCAGTGCAGCATGTCACCGTGCCTCTGTCTTCCTAGCCTGTTCCTTACACACTCCCTTTTGTCTTTTCTTTCAGCAGCTAGACCTTCTCTCAGAGGAGCTACCTGAACACTGTGCAAATCTGCAACAATGCAGCTGGACAGAAGGAGAAGAGTACGGCCAGAGTTCGTGTGTTCAAACCCACACTGTGTCCCCCGAGCCTGTCCTGCATGCCAGCAATGGGCAGCAGATTCCCTGCCCGGGGGTGACTCAGCTAGCTGCTCTTGGTCCCTCTGACCTTGAGACCAGACGTGGGATGTCTCTACAGTCACCAGCTATGACAGAGTCAGGTCCGGATCCTTCATCAAGTAGTACTGTAGAGGAATCTCTGCTGGACCAGAGAGTTTGATGACCTTTGTACAAAATGGAAGATCCCAGAACAGCTGTAACAAGGAAATCCAAATCCTATGTACCCTTCTATTCTATGATTAAACTCAGAATATTTTAATATTCATTGATTACATAGTAAGGAGTCACCCGGTATGTGCCTGACTGGGGTATATTACAGTCATTGAGTAGCATATGTCCTTTACCCTGAGAAAGCATGTGTCCTAGTGGAAGAGACTGAATATAAACACACATATGTATCTATAGTTAAAGTCAAGGAAAAGAATGGCCTCTACCCTGAGAGAGCCTGTGTCCTAGTGGAGGAGGCCAAATATAAACACACATATGTATTTATAATTAAAAAGCAAGAAAAAGACAATGTGACCTTATTTTATGACAGATAAGTATCTGAGTCTGCTCAGGTACCTGGAAGGCATGTTCAGAGATGTGATACTGCTGATGCTGGAGGCAGCTGTAAGCAAGACAGAATGTCTGTGCATTAAGAGTTGGATAAAGTGAGAGAAGCAACAAATAAATACCATTTCCGTACAGACAGTTTGTGAAGGAGCCACCATGTGACATGGGAGGGAAGTGCCCTGGGGGCCTCATCAAAGGGAGCTATTAGGAAAGACTTGAAGGTAAGAAGACGGAAGCCCTAGAGAATTCAGGTTTAAGAGACTGGAAAGCAGAAGAGAGGAAGGTTCACAGGCTGGGATGTATTTTGCCAACTGTGGTAGGTGATAGTGAGGACCTAAGTGAGGACCCTGACTCCCTCCAGGCCGTGGTCAGGAGTCTAAGGGCATGTATTCTTGCAAGTGCAACAGAAAGTCTCCATAAGTGTAAACTGGATTTCATAGGGTCTTAGCTACCTTTTATAATCACAAAAAGATACCACCATGGAACCTATGGAGAGGGGAGGCTGCTGGCTATAAGCCTATGGCTTACTGTTGTTCCTCAAATCAAAAGTTGTCCAGTTGTTTCCATCTAGCTGTAGGAACAGCATGGCTCTTACTACAGGGAAAACCCATGGAGGTAGACATAAAAGCCAAGGGATGACTAGAATCAAGAATAGATGAAAAATGAAATAGTCAGAAACAGCATCATAAGAACTCCTGAGGGACGCTTCTTGTTTGTGTGAGAGGATGAGTAAGCAGAGGACACTTCCTAGCTAGGAACCTAAGACAATATTCCTTTGGAAACTGTCTACTAGCCTGTTTCATTCCTTATCTTCCTGCTTTGGTTGCTATGACTTCAGTGAGGCTCGACTTCCAGGGACCATCCACTGTCTCCCCTGTGTACCTCCCTAGAATGTGGACATCTCCATTCACACATCTTCAGCATCCATATGCACCATACGTATGACCCCAGCGCCAACCCCTTCTAAACCCCAGTCTTCCATCCTCCTACCACACACACTCAGATGAACCCATCTGCCTTGTCTCCTTGTGGCCTTTACTGGCACCTCGGTATCAGTTACTGCATCACTGCTGTTTCCTCATAACCTGGTGACAGCACAAGGCATTAGCCTCTGACATGCCTTTAGCTTCTCTCTCTCTCTGAGATGCCTCGGCAACTGACAAACTGTCTCCGCCAGTCTCCCATAGGGTCATGTTTCCTTGACTCAGGGAGAAAACCTAAGAATAATATGTCAGAGAACTAAGAAAGTCATCTCAAGACTGCGATCCCAGAGCAGTCTGCTGCCAAAATGTTCCTCCAGCCAGGAATCACTATGTCCTTTCCTTTCTGCTGCTGCCTTACTTACCTGGACCACACCCCTCCTCTGGTTCCCACAGTATGATGCAACTTCCAGCTGCAAACTGGCTCCTAATTGCTTTTGTGCATCCTAAGTTTCTTCCTTTTCTAGACTGTCAACATTTGTCTTGGTTCAGACTTGAGCTGCCTTTGCCTGCAGCCTTTGAGCCTGTGGTTCCTGCCTGTTCATCACTGGACTGCCTACTACCTGCTTGATGGCCCTACTTTGTTCTCATGTCAATCTGAAGTGCGGTCCTCTGAACTACTTTGTATATCCCTACATCCTTTCACATCACAGACTCTGAATGTACAGATTTAACTAACAGCTCTGAGATATTCAGAAAACAATCACATGTGCATTATAGACATTGTTCTTGCCATCATTCAACTATTTTGTAACATATATTTTTTTATTAGGCACTACAAGTAATCTAGGGATGATTTAAAGTGTTCAAAGTACGCAGATGTGTGTTTTGTGCAAACACTCTATTGTGTAACGTAAGGGTTGTTGGACAGAATAAATGCAGTAAATTGGTTGCAGTAATTAACACAATATCCCCCAGAGACTAAATGCTCAATATGTGTTGGCTATTGTTGATGCAAAGATGAACACATCAGTAAGTCCAATGTGATCATTACCTTCATTCTGTTGAGAAGGATTCTGTTAGCAAAGCAGCTTACCCTGGAAGAATATTAACAAATGCCTGAGGAATAGATGAGCAGAATAAAGTAGCACTCTCAAGAGACAGGGAAGCGGATGATCTCACCACAGAAGCAACACTATTTCAAGCTATAGGAGGAGCTAAGCTTGCACTTAAAAGGGACTTGTGTGTGGATCATTTTAACCTCCAGGAAAGATGACTTCAGATGTGAAGGGGGAAACAGAGACCCACTGCTTGAATGAAGAATGCAAATGAAATCCCCAAAGAGCTCTACATAGTCAATGGCAGACCCCAGCTCTCCAACAAGGAAGATAAAAGTGAACAAAAAAATGTAGAAACACTTCTATGTCCCACCCAGAACTTTTACTGTCTTTAATGACTGTTGGGCTGATTGCCAAATATCACCTGGAATTCCAGTTCTCAGACTCAGACTGATTGTAATCACTGACCTTCCTGGTTCATGTGATAAACGTCTTATCTCCAGTTGGTTCTGTGTTTCTGGAGGATTCTGGTAGTGAGGAAGAGCTCAAAGACCAAAAGCTTGCCTTATAAAAAGGTATGCTGAGTCCTGGGCTTGTGAATAAGAAGCAACTGAACTCTGGCAATAAACCCACAATAATAATTTCACAACTAATTATTTGTATTTAATAAACTGAGCTCTGTAGGTCTCAAGGTCATCATCTACAAATTAACACAGAGAATGCTTATTCAGCCCTTTAGCTGAAGCCTGGAATGATGCCAAGGCTCAGTAAGTAAATGCAGTGTTTGTCCTTAGCAGCATGACAAGAGTAAGAAGAGTAGATGCCATTGCTTGGCCATCCTACCCTTAGCTAAGTGCTGCACCAAGTACTTTATGTGTCCTGTCACCACCTATCTCCACAACAAAATTCCACAGCAGAAACTCACCTATGCATAACACACACACACACACACACACACACACACACACACACACACACACACACACCAAACTAAACTGTCTGAGGTTTGAGTTCTAGTAGGGTGTAGTTTGAAGTTTTCATCCCACAGCAGTAGGGGATTAAACTGACACTGATTCACTGATTTTTCTAGAACAAAATGTATCTTCAAAACTCTGTCAAGCCTTGGGGTTTATGTGGAGCTTACTAATAGGCCCAACTCAACCAGAGTAATTCTTTTTCTATCTGCATTCTGCATTGAGTTTGGCAAAAAATCTTACTTCAGGCAAATACTTCTTAGAAGAGCTTGAAAAACTTAACATACTGACCACATTTGACTTTTGTAAACAGATAGGTTCTGTTGCTTTCGTATAAAATGTTTTCTACCACACAGAAATCCTTTTGTACCTACCATTTTAGCAACTTTTAGCTCTTAACTGCTGTCACACCATCAAGATAAACAAGAATTTCTTTGCATTTCCTGAATGATGCCAAGCTCTGTTTCCTCTTTTTTTTTTTTTTTTAAATATATGTTGATCTTGTCCAAGTTAATTCTTGAGGAGATCTTAGATCGTGTGTTTATAAATAGAAATAAAAATAGAGAAAGTACCTGCAGGAAGTAGATAAACACACACACACACAAACACACACACACACACACACACACACACACACACACACACACACACACACATAAATCTTTTACATGAAACTGAAGCTACTTGTTTAACTAAAAAAGAAGGAAAGAGTAAACAGACTTCAAGTTTAGGAATTTGCCAGGGAACAACTTGGCCTCTTCTGTGGCATATTCCAGGGATCTTCCTCGTGTGGATTTTACCCCCTCCAGATTTCAGAATTCAAAGCCAAAAGCCTTGATTAGAGGGGCTCATTTCAGAAATAACAGTTGGAATTCAAGTCCCATATTTTCTTTGGTTTTGTTCTGCATGAGTGAAGACCTAAGTTGCATGATGGAGACAAAGAAAACAACCTTGAAGGTTGTTCTGATCCATAGCTTATGCCAAGACCACAAAGATTTTCGTAAAGAAATTCACGTTTGGTGTACAAAAAAATATTCTCCAGAAGCATGTTCCACAAGACTTTGTGTGTTGAACAGATCTTTCTTAGTTCTGTTTTCTTTCTTTCTGTAGAGCTAAACCTTAGATTTCCTCAAAAGAAAATAATTTTGCTAACATTGAAAAATGAAGCCGAAAGATTCTAATGACAAGAGAATTTACTCTTGAATGACTCATTCTTTGTTGAGGTAGTAATTGGTTCCTTTGAGATGAAATGGAGTGAAATAGGACGTTTATAAAGAGGTCAAAGAATCAGTTATTCTTCATAGGAGGAGGTATTTCCAGGGTAGTTTCCTGTGGGATGGTGGGTTGCGTATCTAATTTCAAATTGGAATTTGAGCAACATGTAACAGCTATAATTAAACGGACCACAGATTATTCAAACTGATGTCAAATCTCCTTCCTTGAAAATTGGAGAACGTAAATGAAATCTAAAACATGGAAGCCATCTTTCCTGAACTTGAACTCAGCCTCTCAAATGTTTTACCTTTTTTTAAAACTAAAGATCTCTACTAATTCTTTGAAAAGTTCACACAATGCATTTTCATCACACTCATCCTTATTCCCCCAGTTCCTCCAAGATCCACTACCACTCTTTAGCCCCGCCCCCAACTTTATGTCCTCACTTTGTTTTGCTTTCAAATAACCTATCATGTTCGATTTGTGCTACCCATGTATTCCTGAATATGGTCTCATCCACAGAAATGTGGTTGCTGTGCTAGAGGCCACACCCTTAAAGACAACTGACTCTTCCTCTCCAAGAAGCCATCAGCTGTCCATAGTTCCTCAATTAAGAGTGGGAGCTTGTGATTCCTTACCCACTATGCTATAATGTTGACTGACTTTACCTTGCAAAAATCTTCTGTAGGCAACAATGAGTGCCATTGTTCTGCCATGTCCAGAAGATACGGTTTCACTCCAGTCCTTCCTGGCATCTGGCTCTTATAGTCTTTCCATTCGATCTTCTATGAGGGTCCCTGAGTCTTGAGTGGGGTATGATAAGGATGTGCCATTTGAGGCTGAGCAATCCAGTGACAACGTTCTCTGAACTTTGACTGGTTGTGAGTTCTTGTATTAACCGCCACCCACTGCACAAAGAAACTTCTCTGAGGAGGTGTGAAAACTGAAGCCATCTGTGTTTAGAGAGATTCAAATTTAGAGATCAGTTTGATACTTTGTCTATTTAGCAGAATTGTAGTAGTATATTCAACCCGAAGGCCCATGAACAACCAACCATGAGTTCTTGGTTGTACCAGATATATGTTATCTCTTGTGCTGTGGCCCTTAAATCTAATCACTAAGCACTTGGTTACTCCCATTACCCATGGGCGTATTTCACCATACTGGTCATTATTGCAGGACAGAATTCACATCTGGCTAAGACTGTTAATGGCTTCTTCCTTTAGCAGCCTGCACAACATCTTCCAAAACTATGAAAGCTAGCCATCAGGGAGAAAGCTTCTTGTCAGTGCCACTTTGATTTCTGTATGTCCCATGACTAGTGTATATAATATCTTCAGCAAAAGGGTCTTACTGTCAAATTCTGGTGGGCAATCAAAAGCATTGTAAGTAACGTGCATCATTTGTAGGGGGTCTGGAAAAGAAATAAGGGAAACAATTCCACTCACACTAGCCACACACAAAAGTAAGTACTAAAATAAACCTAACCAAAGAAATGAAAGACCTACAGAATGAAACTTCAAAATACTGAAGAAAGAAATCAAGAAGCCATCAGAAGATGGAGAGACCTCCCGTGCTCATGGATTGGTAAGATTAATATTGTGAAAATGGTCCTCATATTAAAAGCAATCTATAGATTCAGTGTAACCCTGTTGTGGAATATTATTTTAAGGTGTGTTACATTTGTTTATGCTGTGGAACATTTGTTTAGTGATGCAAAGATGTGTTGCATTCTTTTATGTTGCATTTGTTTAACTCTGTGAAGCTGTGTTACTTTGCCTGTCTAAAACATCTGATTGGTCTAATAAAGAGCTGAACATCCAATAGCAAGGTAGGAGAAAGGATAGGAGTGGCCAGCAGGCAGAGAGAATAAATAGAAGGAGAAAAAGAGTCAAAACAGAAAAGGAATAAAAACAACAACAACATAGCCCCAATCAAAATTCCAATATAATGCTTCATAGAAATTGAAAAAAAAAAAAAAAAGAAACTTGAAAAACTTAAAATTCATGTGGCAGCACAAAATGCCCTGGGTAGCTAAAACAGTCCTGAACACTGTAAAAAAAAAGCAACAACAATAAAACGTGTGTCATGGTTTCTGCTTTCAACTTACACCACAGAGCCATGGTAATAAAAGTAGCATGCTACTGCCACAAAAACAGACATGCTGATCAACAGAGTAGAATCAAGGTCTCAAATATAAGTCCATGCACCTATGGACACCTTATTTTGAACAAAAATGCCGAAAGCATATATCCAAAAAAAAAAAAAAAAAAAGACAGAACCTTTAGCAAATGGTGTTGGTAAACCGGAATGTATAAGAATGAAAATCAGTCCTTGTCTCTCACTCTGAACACAAACAATTCCAAGTGGAGCTAAGATCTCAGTGTTAGATCTGAAACTCTGAAGCTTCTGGAAGAGAGAGTGGGAGGTATACTTACGGATGTAAGTTCTGGTAAGGACTTTCTGGATAACAATCTGGTCACCCAGGAAGCTGAACCAACAATAAGTGGAACTTCATAAAATGAAAAGGCTTCTTATTGCAAAGAAAACTGTTAATCATCTGAAGAGGCAGCCTACAAAAAGGAAACATTTGTACCAGCTCTACAACTGGTGGCAGCTTGGTGTCTAGAATATACATAGAACTCAAAACTAGCACCAAGAAAGTTAACAACCCAATTAAAAAGTGAGCTCTGGACCTGCACAGAGTTCTCAGAAGACATGCA